ACTGGAATGGAATTATAGGCCATATCAAGAGAGTATAAAATATTTGTTAAGTTATATTAATTCAGACCGGGAGTGGCGGCTCAGGCCTGTAATCCCAGCACTTTGGGAAGCTGAGGAGGGTAGATCACCTGAGCTCAGGAGTTCAAGACCAGCCTGGCCAACATGGTGAGACCCCATCTTTTCTAAAAATACAAAAATGTAGCTGGGCATGGTAGTGGGCTCCTATAACCTCTGCTACTCAGGAGGCTGAGGCAGGAGAGTCGCTTGAACCTGGGAGGCAGAGGTTGCAGCGAGCCGAGATCACGCCATAGCACTCCATCCTGGGTGATAAGAACAAAACTCCATCTAAAAAAAAAAAAAAAAGGAAAAAAGATTAATTCAGCACCAAGTAACCAAGAAGGTCTTTTTTTGTTGTATTATTTTAAGGCTGGCTAGACACTTAACTTTCTAATTTTTGTTATTCTGATCTTCAGACTTCAAATTTTATCCACAATAATAGTAAAACCATCCTAAACTTAATACACCACAGTATTAAGGATTTCGATTGGTTTTTATTGATTTGTTTGTTTGCTTTGTTTTGCTTTTGCTTAATAATAGTTTAGAATAGGTATCTGTAATTTGTGGCTGCCTCAAATCTTTTTAACCTTATTCCTACTGTGTGAACCTTTCAAAGGCAGAATTTCAAAAGATCTACACAGGTCTCCTTCGTTCTGAGTGCAATCTCCACTAATCAGATGGATTTGTATGGGACTTTAATTTAGAAGCAAGATATAAAGAGCAAGCCAGGGCATCAGGCATGGAGTGGCAGAGAGGGCATGCATCTGAGACTGTCAGCAGTTGTGGCAGTTTTCTTGTCATGGAACCAAGCATGATTCTGTGCTTGGCAAAGAAAAAGCCTGAAAAAGCCACAGTACTTCAATAAAAGTACTGTGGTTGTGGTGTGGGCAGTGGTATATCTGCAGTGTCATAAATGAAAGTATTATTGTAACCTCAACCTAGAATCTATTCCCTCAGCCCTTCCAAAAGTTCTGTTGCATTTCTAATATTTCTTAATAATTGCCTACTACTTAAACTGATTATGGCAGATTCTGTTGTCTGCAACCAAGAACCACGGATGATATCATTTATATGGTAAAATCCAGAATCACAATTTAAAAGTGATACATCTAGTAGCTGTTACTTTGTTTTCCAGAAAACCTTTCATGGGGTAACATTTTTTCATGGACTAACAATATTTCTTGACTGCTACTTTGTATGCAGGACTGCATTAAGTGCTAGGAATGAATGTCCAAACGATTAGACAAGTCATTCCATTCATGAAGCATATGTATCTATGAAATAATTTTAAGTAATTAAATGTTTTAATGTAAGCTTATTTGTTACTAATTAGTAAATTGGAAGAATACATTGTTATTTGTTGGTACTGCCCTTGGAAAGAGATAAAGCAACTTTTATCACTAGCATTTCTTAAAAATAGAAAAATCAATTGCATATTTTTTCTTTCCAAATTTTATTTTAGGTTCAAGGGGGTACATATGCTGGTTTGCTACATGGGTAAATTTCACGTGGCGGAGGTTTGATGTACAGAAATTTTTGTCACCCAAGTAATAAGCCTACCCAATAGACAGTTTTTAAATTCTCACCCTCCTCCCACCCTTCACCCTCAACTAGGCCCCAGCGTCTACTGTTTCCTTCTTCGTACCCATGTGTACTCAATGTTTAGCTCCCACTTACAAGTGAGAATATGCAGTATTTGGTTTTCTGTTCTAATGTTAATTTGTTTAGAATAATGTCCATCCATGTTGCTGCAAAGAATATGATTTTGTTCTATTTTATGGTTGGGTAATATTCCATAGTATCACTAGCTTTTAATATCCTTCCTTTGTAAAATAGCCTCTACAATATTCTTCCTTTATTAAACCTCTGAACAGACTCTCTAATGGTTCAATAGATGATTCATAGAGAATTTAAAGAAAGACTGTCAAGTGGTGAGATAAAAGAAAAAGACTAGGATGCTGATTCTATGTTTAATCCAATCTGAACACCCCTTGGGAGGACCAAAGGGACATAGATTTGAGCTTTCACCATCAAGTGAAAAATCTGGTGAATATATGTGTACTTTCAAAGTATGCATAGAATCCTAAAATTTTATAGAAATAAGAAATTATCTACATACTGTACTTCAACATCTAGTTTACAGGTTTGATCCACCTACATGATGGTGAGGGGATTAAGATGTGTATTTTTGTATTTCCTCATGCCTGTGTGTCTTTGCTCCCTTCAAACACATGTGAACAAATGTTACTCCCAACTAAGCCTTCATACTTCCCACTTTCTATCTCCAGTAAGCACATCCCCAGATGTGTATATGTGTTTGTGTGTGTGTATATATATATATATAACTCTGAAAAAATGCATCTTATATTTTTCTTACTATGACATCTATCATGTGACACAATTAGTGGTTTCTAGAACCACTAAACTTTGCCTCAGAACAATACACATAAATATGTATATTTATACACACACATAAATATAGTTGTGGTGAACATAATGAGATAAAATAAGATTTAAGGGCTTTTACTTAGAATTAACCAATATCCAGTGATGACTTTTGGGGAGCAGAGAATAGAATGTTATGTAGATGTTAATTGTACAGTACAAATTAGTAACAATGTTAAAGTATATACATAGGACCCCAGTCTCTCCACTCCAAAATACAAAACTCCCTTCCTCCTCCTCAGTACAAAATTATCTTGGCAGAACAGGAAGAGAATTCACAGAAATGCAGCAAAAGTACATAAACAATTGAGATCCAGCACCAGGGAAGACATAAAAATTCTTAGTGAGTCAGACTTAGTTTATAGTCTTGTTTTTCCTTTAGTCTGCATTTCAATGGTCTTTCTATTTTTGTTAAATATAAGTGAAGAGAAAGAAGATTTTATTAGAGGTTTGTTGGCTAGCTGCTGATTCTGATATGCCTTAAATGGTGCATTGCAATCTTTAGTTGTCAGACACTGGGAAAATGGAAAGTATTCTTAGATTTTCAGTGACGATTCTCTAAAACGCTTATGAATTCATATTTTGAACTAAAGTATTTGCTTTCTCTCTCAATGCTGATCTTTCCCCAAAAATAATATATGTAATTTTAAAGTCTATACCTATATTTTCCTTGTAGAACAAGATGGTCAATGAAGCAGTCACTGTGAAAACCTCATGAGAACAATTAAATCTCTGCAATTAAATTGATGACTAAATTTGGCAGTAGAGAAATGGTAATGACACTTTCTGCAGCTCTTTCTAGAAGGGCTCACTTTCTTTTTTCTTCCAGTTTCTTTAATCAAAATGAATAGGCACAAATGATTTTCTAAAACCGTACAAGTGCCTAGAACTAGGAGTTTGGTAGACATAGCTAGACGAAGTGGCAAAGCACATTCTCAGAAAGTCAAAGATTCAAGCTGTCTTTTTTCTCTGCAACATATTTTTAGAGAATCAAAATGTAATTTTAATGAAATATTATTTTAAATAGTGAACTTGAAAAAAAAATATCAAACTCCACAGCTTTTTGCTTTTAGTTAAATTTACACAGTATTTTATGTGAGGAAGAAGAAATACGTTGTTTGTGGTTAATGACCTTAAACTCTAAAGTCGAGGGTTGAAAATGACTAGGAGAGGCAAGAATTAATACTGATACATGATTGTTAGTATAAATATGAACTTTAGTGGTTGAATGGACTTCAAAACTGTCTTGATATGATAGCTCTATGCTTCTTACATAAGTGTTAATCCAAAATAATTGCTGTCCTAATAAGGAACAACTAATGTGTCATTATTGATTCATACATGCTATGTACTATCATTCATTTGTTCATTTAACAAAAATCTGATAGGGTTTTATGAGTCCTGGAGCTACAGAGCAAACTCTCTACCTTCAAGAAATACAACTTATTGGAGGAGTCAGATGCACATTTTAAAATAATAATTTATTTATGTGAATATTATGATAGAAATGTACACAGAGTATTATGGACATCTGTTCTTAGCATGGTGGCCTTAGGCCAAGCAAGGCTTACTAGAAAATTTAATTCTTCAACTGTCACTTAAATAAATAAAGCTGGGTTAGCCCGGACAGAAGATAGGGAAGGGAACACAGGAATGAGGGAGCAAAAGTATGGCAGTAACCAATCCTCTAGGTGATTTGTCGGTTGGTCTAAATCCATTTGCAAAGAGGTGGTTATATTGCTAGTTTCACATTGCAAATTCAAATTTCCTTTGATAAGCACAGGAGCAAAATTTAATTAAATGCTGTGATAATAGTTATTTGTCAAATAAAAACGGCTACCTGGCTGGGTATTTTTCTATTCTTAAGAAGTTATGGTCTTTAAAGTATTTGACTTTATCAAGAGGTTCTGGAGATTCTCTGGACTCTTCCCCAGGAAATTCTTCTTAGTAATGGACTTTCTACCTTTTATCTACTTTATCTTCTAAAATTATTGAAGCCTGCCACCTTTACACAAAAGCAGGTCTTCTCAACCTCAGCATTATTGATATTTTAGATGCAATAGTTCTTTGCTGGGGTGGTGAACTTCCCTGTGCATTATAGAATGTTTAGAATCATCTTTAAACTTTTTATCCACGAAATAAGTAGAAGACCTCCCTCACTCCAGTCACCTGCAGTTGTGACAATCTAAATGTCTCCAGACATTGACAAAATATTCCACCATGAACAAAATCATCACTGGTTGAAAATCACTGCTCTAACTTAAGCTGTTGCCACATAGTTTAACTGCAGCAGTTTGAATTAAACTCAAATATTTTACTATTAGTGATGATATAATATTAAAAAACTGTTAGTAACTTGTACAGGGGACAGCCAGTGACCAAATGCCAACTCACTCACAATAAGGGACCAAAAATGTACTGGATAGCTACATATTAGAAAAGGTCTCATATTCCTCTGCAAAGTAGTCTGTGATATTAGTTGGTGTAAATGTCATTACCTGTATTGGTGACGTTTCTCCTCCCCTGAGCATACAAGGCATGTCTCGCTTGTTCATGACCTATAAGAAAACTGGAATTAGTAAATCTTTTTCTCACCTGAAGTACTGATACACTCTAACCCATGGTTCTCAACCTCAGATGCCCTTTGAAACTTTGTGGGGAGATTTAGATAATGCTAAACTCTTGATTGCTTTGCAATGTTCTGATTTAGTTTAAACAATTCTAATATACCTTGGTTACACCTAGAGGTTCTGATTTAATTGGTCTAGGGAAAGGCCTGGGCATGAGAAATTTTAAAAACTCCTGTAGAGTTCTAATGTGCTGCCAAGGTTGAAAAACAGTGCTCACTTTATCTTACCTTGGGCTATGGATCATGTTTTAAAATCTCCATTTTGTGTAGAGATGTTGGGAGACAGCTAAGTCTTACTTTAGTTATACTCATACATCTAGTTAGTCTTTATGAAACTCACAAATTTTGTGTCTGTTTTAGATCTAGGAATTTACTTTTTAGAACTAGGAATTTACCTTTAGAACTACAAATTTAATCTTTCACCTCGTGTTTCCCAAACTTGTCTACACATCAAAGTTATGTTTTTGTTTTTTAAAGATCAGGCCATATCCCAGACCAATTAAATTGAAATCATTGGGGATATTACATATATCAGTGTTTGTGAAGCTCCCCAAGTGAGTCCAATGAACAGACAAGTTTGGAAACCACTGCTTTACCCATATCTAGAGAGGGATCAAAATGCCTTGTAGATATAGATTATTGGTTCTCATATTTAATTGCACATTAGAATGACATATGCAATTTTTAAACTCTCAGTGCCTAGGTCGTGCCCCAAGTCCAGTAAATCAGAATTGCCAGGCACCAGTATGTTTTTTAGTTCCTTAGGTGATTCCAGTGTGCAGTCAAGCAGTACTTCTCAAACTTTAGCATACATCAGACTTAACTGCAGAGCTCAATGAAACACAGTCTGCTGGGCACCATACTCGAAGTTTCTAATTCTGTAAGTCTGTGTTGGGCTTCAAGAATTTGCACTTCTTTTCTAACAAGTTCTAACAGGTGACACTAATGCTGCAGATCTTGGGACCACAGTGTGAAAACCACCAGGGTAGGAGAATCAGCCTATAAATGAAAGAATGAAGTGACCCATAGAATTAAGTGTAATTTCCAGGGATTTTTTTTCAGTAGTGACTAATTTAGCTTTTGAATTGTTTTAATGGATGGAATAGTATTTAAAATATCCATGAGTATACTAATTATACCTATTGTAATATTTTATTGTTTCCCATACAAACTCTCTTCCATTCAGATTAGTTTTTCCTTGTTTACATCTTGGTGCTATTTTTTCTTTCCCTCATTCATATACATAGATGAGATGTAGATCAATGGGTACCAACAGGTATAGTACTTCAAGTTCATTTCTTTCACCCAGATAAGAGGAAGTATGTGCCTGGCAGTAAATATAGCATCTGATGATGGAGCCCTGACTATAGAAGTTGTGGTTCCACAGGAAAGAAAATGATCTTACATGTAGAAAACCCTATAATGATTACTCACTAAAAACTGAACTAATAAATGGATTCACCAAAGTTGTAGGATACAACAATAACACGTGAAAATCAGTTGTGTTTCTATATACTAACAATGGACAATTCAAAAAGGCAATTAAGAAAAGCATTTAGTTTATAATAGCACCAAAAAGAATGTAATACCTAGGGATAAACTTAACCAAAAAGGCTTAAAGAGGATACAAATAAATAAAAATACATCTGTGCTTATAGATTAGAAGACTTAATGTTATGCTATCAATACTATCCAAAGTGAACTACAGATTTAATGCACTAACTAGGAAAATCCCAGTGATGTTTTGTTGTAGAAATAGAAAAATGCATCCGAAAATTCATATGAAATCTCAAGGAATCCTGAATAGGCAAAATAATCTTGACAAAGAAGAACACGTGTCAGAACTCACACTTCTTGATTTCAAAATTTATTACAAACCTATACTAATCAAAACATTGTGGTACCAGCATAACAACAGACATAGAGACCAATGAAACAGAATAGAGAGAGTCCCAAAATAAACTTTCACATATAGTCAAATTATTTTCAACAAGGGTGCTAACCCCATTCAATGGGAAAAAGAACAGTCTCTTCAACAAATGCTACTAGGAAAACTGGATATCCACATGTGAAAGAATAAAGTTGGGCTCCTATCTTACACCACATACAAAAACAAACTTAAAGTGGATCAGACCTAAAGGTAAGACCCAAAACTGTAAAACTCTTAGAAGAAAACATAAGGAAAAGAGTTTGTGACATCGGATTTGGCAAAGATTACTTGGATATGACACCAAAAGCCCAAGCAACAAAAACAAACATAGACAAATGGGACTACATGAAACTTTAAAAATATCGAAAGAAACAATCAACAGAGTGAAAAGTCAACCTGCAGAATGGGAGAAAATATTTACAAATCACATATCTGATAAAGGCTATCTTTTTTTTTTTCTTCTTTTTTGAGACAGAGTCTCACTCTGTCACCCAGACTGGAGTGCAGTGGTGCGATCTCGGCTCACTGCAAGCTCCACTTCCTGGGTTCACGCCATTCTCCTGCCTCAGCCCCCCAAGTAGCTGGGACTACAGGTGCCCACCACCATGCCCGGCTAATTTTTTTGGTATTTTTAGTAGAGACAGAGTTTCACCGTGTTAGCCAGGACGGTCTCGATCTCCTGACCTGGTGACCACCTGCCTCGGCCTTCCAAAGTGCTGGGATTACAGGCGTGAGCCACGGCGCCTGGGCGATAAAGGCTATCTTAGTCAGCTTGAGTTGCCATGACAAATACCATGAACTAGGTAGTTTAAACAACAGAAATTTATTTCTCACAGTTCTGGAGACTGAGAAATCTAAGATGGAGGTGCTGGCCTATTCAGTTTCTGGGAAGGGTTTTCCTGGTTTACTATATCCTCATATGGGAAAGAGACCATCTCTCTTTCTCTTCTCTCTCTCTTTTTTTTTTTTTAAAGACAATAATCTCATTCATGAAGTTTCCACCTTCATGACCTATTGACCTCCCATAGGCCCCACATCCAAATACTGTCACATTGGGAATTAAGGCTTCACCATATGAATTTTGGGAAGGCAAAAATCAATAAGCTCACAGCAAAAGGTTAATGCCCAGAATATATAAACTCCTGCAACTCAACAACAAAACTCCCAAATGCCTTTATTTTAAAAATTGGCAAGGGATATTGAAACCCTTCAGAGGACAAACAAATGGCCAGTAAGTATGTGAAATGATGCTCTACATCACCAATCATTAGAGAAATGCAAATCAAACCATTATGAGATATAACCTAGCACTCATTAAGATGGCTGCTATTTGAAAACAAAAACAAAATGGAAAACAACAAATGTTGAGAATGTAGAGAAATAGGAATCTTTGTGTACTCTGGGTGGCAATGTAAAATGATGCAGCCATATGGAAAACAGTATGATCATTTTAATTTAAAATAAAACTACTATATTATCCAAAAAATTCACTTCCGAGTATATATCCAAAAATAATTGAAAGCAGAATCTCAATAAGATATTTGCACACCCATGTTCATAGCAGCACTATTCACCACAGACAATAGGTAAAAACAACCCAAGTGTCATCAACTGGTGAATGAATAAACAAAATGTTTTATATGCATACACTGGGTTATTATTTAGCCTTAGAAGGGAGAAAAGGGTGCCAGCAAAGAGCCTTCAAATTTGAACTGCAACACTGGCTATTTCCTGCCTTTAGCCCTACCTGTCCCACTCTGCAGATTTTGGACTTAACCATTCTCCATAATTGCATGAGCCAATTCCTTCAGCTAAATTTCTTTCTATATACTATACATACATACTTTTTGTTCTGTTTCTCTGGAGAACCTTGACTAAATACAAGGATGAAACTTCAGGACATATGTCAAATGAAATAAACCAGTCACAAAAAGATAAGAACCATATGATTCCATTTATACATGATACTTAGAGTGGTTAAATTCATAGAAACCTAAAGTAGAGTGTTGGTTGCCAGGGGCTCGGAGTAGGGAAAAATGTGGAGTTGTTGTTTAATTAGCATAGAGTTTCAGTTTTTTAAGATGAAAAAGTTCTGGAGATTGGTTATACAACAATGTGGATGCACTTAATACTATTGAACTGTACATTTAGAAATCGCTAGAATAGTAAATTTTACGTTACATTTTACCACAATCAAATCAAAACAAAACAAAACAACAAACTATCTATTCTTACCTAGTTGTATTGGTTCCAAAACAAACTGCAGAGTTAAAAATTACAAAAGATCTATTATAGCTTCAATGACACAGAGAAGAGAAATGAGTCAGAATGGACATCCAAATTGAATTTGAATCAATAATTTCCAACTGGTATTTTTAAAATAGTAACAAATAAACAGATGGACAAAAAAGCCAGATTAGTGGGGTGGTATTCTACACATGACATATAAAGTCATGATATAGAAAGGCAAGTACTAATGCCTCTATTCTATTATCAGTGGCAAATTCTTTATTGTATTTTGAATCAGTTTAAGTTTATACAGCATATGTGAGAAAACTGAACTGTGTTCAGAAGAAAACATTGTAAGAACTTAAAATATGTAAGTAGAAATTTTAAAACAATGTAGAGCTTAAAGTTTACATGTGAATGTTAAAATAATCTAGATTATTTGCTGTATAGAGAGTTGAGGGATAAGGTACTAAGTTATTACATATAGGGGATTTTCCAACTATTCTCTATTTCTTTAGAACACAAAATTGAAGGCCATGAACTTCAATTCAACAAGAGACATTTCCTGGGAGCAAGAGCAACTAAGCCTTGATAAAGCAAATGGTGGACTAACTATACTGACTGTGTAACAGGTAAGTTTGTACTCTAAACTTAGAAGCTTAAAATACACACATTTATTCCCTATTATTTCACAGTTCCTGTGGGTCAGGAGTCTAAGCACACCCTAGCTGGGTTCCTGTCTCATAAGGCTTAAATTAAAGTGTTGGCTAGAGGTACAACCCCTGTTATCTTGCAGACCTCTTCCTGGTTATTGGCAGAATTTAGTTTCTTGCTGCTGTGAGGACTGAGACCCATTCCTGGCCAGATGGCCCTCTCCACACCATGACAATTTGCTTCTCGAAGGCCAACAGGAGGGAGTCTCCTGCAACTTCTTGTCTCTTTCCTCTAGATCCTCTTCGAAATGGTTCATTTGGTTAGTTAAGGCCCATCTAGGGTAATTTCTCTTTTGATTAATTCAAAATCAACTGATTACAGACCCTAATTACACCTGTGCAACTACTCCACTCTTTCTACACCATGTAACAAAATAATGACTGTTATATTCTATGATATTCACAGGTAACACTCACACTAAAGAGGAGAGGATTACGCAGGACATATACATAAGAAAGCAGGATTCTTGGGGACCATCTTGGAATTCTGCCTATCATCCTATCTCAAGATTTGCCTATCTGACCTAAAATAATATCCCTTTGTATTTAATAATTGGATTTTTCCCCAAATATGAAATAGGTTAAAATCTCATTTATTTCTCTCAAAAGTATTTACAGAACAATTTCTCAAGAACAGACCTTGTGGATGTGCCGTCCTGCATGGAAGCATAATAGCCACATATGTAGTGTTGTTGAAGCAGTGCCATATGACCACAACTGCTTAAAAATATCTTCCCAGGTTTGCAATCAAACCTGGCATTAGCTTCAACTTACTCTGTGACACTTAGCTTTAGAAATGTACCCAATTCATAGTGAACAGATTAATGAGTTGGCTAAGATAGGTAAAAAGGAGTAATTCAAATTCAAAGTTGATATCACTCTTTCATAGGAATTTTTGGTATGACTGGGTTGACATTGCAATAATCTACACATGTATGTCTCCTAGAGTAATATTCATTAAGGGATCACGCTTACAATCCTATGTTGATTTCAAAACCAATATGTCACAGTAATCTTCCCTTTGCCTGTGATCTGCAATACTGTTGGAATTATTTTTCTTCATGTCATTCTTATATTTCCTAACTACCAATGCAGATTGAAATGATAGGAATTTCAGCATTCTCTTTAGTAGCCAGGTTTTTGTTTCAAATACATCAGTAGAGTTATGCTTCATTTTCATTTCCCAGGAGGACATTCACTAATGTTGTATAGTAAATAAAGTGTCTTACTTTAACAATTGCTGAATTTAACCGTGTATTATATTCTTTAACTCATCTGTGTCCTTTTTCTCTCTCTGAAAATATTAATACTGTGTGATATTGACTAAAACATGGCAATTGTTAATTTTACATATTTCACATTTGTATGGCAGTGGAAAATATCCCGTGCACATATTACAATCTTTTCAGAAATTGGGAATACGTTTATGTAAAGTATTACTTCCAAGATATGAAACAAGTTCTACAAACTACTGATCAAAATCCTAATTGAGTGTGCACATGTTGTACACGCTATTTAAGGAAAGTGACAACATCATGTAGTTCTTTCTTAGTGTCTTTTAAAGTAATAACACAGGAAGCATGATATTATAACCTACAGAGGTTATAAATACTAACCCTATAGCATTTTTATTACCAACTTATATCAAAGGCAATCTGGCACAAATAAGATTCTCCCACTAGTAAGCAGTCTTATATTGCAGACATAAAATATTTGTAAGCATTTTAACTTCACAAGGCTACAGCAGCTGTGTCACATTTGTTTTTCCTTCATTTAATATGAGCTTATTTAGATGAAATTGGAATTGCCTTTCTCCCTTCTAGATGACAGTTCTGGTTTAATGCCAGGCCACTTAGTGAGGTCAGTCAAACAATGCTCTATTATGTACAGTGGCATAAATCAAAAATCACAAAATCACTAACTTATAACACATGTTACATGCTCAGTAAGTTCACAGTCTAGCCTTCTACAGGTGATTTTACATTCCATTTTAAGGTATGCCTTATTACCTCCACTGCAAACAGCTCACTTGATCATCTCTGAACTATTTTAACATTTATTTTACACTTTGTATGAGAATGCATAGCTACATTTTTAACTAAACAAACAAACCAACCAGAAAGAAAGTCAAATCAAACTTTTAGACAACCTTTGCCTTGTGTTACATCAACATTATTTGCATTTGGAAAATCTATTAACTGAGTTGAATATGAAATTTCAGTGACTCCCTCTCACTTTCCCATCACTGCCTCCCTCACCTGCATCTGGCCATACTGTTACCATTCAATGAGGTGGGGCCTCTTTAAGATCCTGCTAAGCTAGTAGTCTCTGCCTCCTAACATATTTCCAGTACTGCCAGATGATAGCGACAAAGAGGAATCTGCCATAGGTTTCCTTTCTCGTTCTTTTTTTAAAAGCTGAAAGGGTGAGACTGCCACAGAAAGATTATCAAATCCTCAGACTACATACTCTGGCATTAGTGACCCATATAGGTTTTCAGCAATACGTTCTTGTCATAATTAATATGAAAGCTTCATCCATCTGCTGGATATAGATACCTCCTCAACCCTAAATAATTTAATAACAACTTCCCTGCACGTCTGTTTACATGAGAAGAAATCTTTACTACCTTGAAGACCCCAACTTTCTGCCCTCTAAATTTTTCTACTTTGCACTTTAATCTAGATTTGAATACTCTGAATCTTTTCTCTTGACTCAGATCTCAACTCACGTTTATCCTAAGTACTATGTAGCTTCAACTTTAACTGATAAAATGCATATACAAATATATACATATTTGAGTTCTTTTCCAAATTTTGTGAATAATCGTTAACCTAGATGCTGGCCTATATTACTGGTTTTACAGACTGTAAAATCTTTTAGGGTGGGAACTGTAACTAAAAATATGTCCAGCATTATAGGACCTAATTAAGTGCCCGTGTATTTAGACAAATACTCAGAAATAATTATCAGTCATTGATAACAATCATGATTTAATTATACTGGAGTAATTCATAATGGTAACCCTGTGGGAAAGAGCTACATCCCAAAGGCAGCTAAGTCAGTAATAGAATAATAATAATAATAATAATAATGCATTGCCTGTATTAACTTTCTGGTAAGCAAAGCCCCCAGATGTAACTAAGATATGGAAACAAAAATAAATAAACAAATAAAGCAGGTTATCATCAACAACCCAGAGAATGATAGAAATTCTAAATGCAGTCTAAAATCTAGATGTACATGTGTACATATAAAAGTATAGTGTAGTGTACCTGTTCTGACTAAATTTAACATTATTTGTCATTTTCTTTTTCTCCTTCTCTTAATTATCTGGTTTGTTGATATATTTGGCAAGTTGATTGAATAGGCAGCATCACAAAATCCTATAATTACCTCACAAAAAGCTAGTGATAAGAATCTGTTGGTGTAAAAATATTCTAAAGAAAGTTATACATATTCCAAAAATCTTTACTGCTATTTCATCACAAAATAAACAAAAAGAGCAAAGGATAAAACTTCACATTTGTATAAAAATAATTTTTAAAATTGTTCTCAATGACTATGAAAATAATGGGGCCAGATTACTTACTTTTCAGACATCTGTTAGGATCCTGAATCAATAAAAAGTTGTTCTTTTTCCTTCTTTAGAAAAAAACACATCTAAAGTGAGAACTTTTAGTAATAAAGACATGAAATAATAAAATGCTTTTGTTTTCTTTATTACATAAGCAAAATTTCTAAACTTCATTTTTTATTAATTCTATTTGTCATTCTTTTAATGCTCAGTTAAGAAAAAGAAAAACACAAATTACTTTGAGGACAACATATACTAGATTTTCAGTTTTCCTTGACGACTTCCAAAAGTCCTTTGATTTGGACGCCTAAAAAGGAATTTTCATCCTTAGAAATGTATTTTAAAACATTAAAACCTTGAGAATTTCAGGATTGGATATTCTCAGCTGCAGCTCTGGAAAAAGAAAAAAAAAAAAAAAAAGCCGTGCATAGAGAGACGAAGCCTTAAAGTAAAATTTTAGAAGCTTGACAACAAGGAGATTCAGTGTCAGAAGCAAATTAACTGGCCTAAGAGGAAAGAGGCCCTCTCAGAAGAAGATAACTTGAAGCCAGTTGAGTTATTTGGGAGACGGGGAAAGAGGCCCGCATGACGAGGCTGGGATAGTGTGCACATGGCACCTTCCCCCACTGTGCCTGTCCACTCGGCTCTACCAAGTGTGGGCTCATGATTCAAACTGACAAGAACCTTACTCCCTCTCTGATCCAGAAAGAAAGAGCCTTGTCAAGTTGAATATCCTGCTTGCTGCACAGGAGCAGGGTTGCCAGGAACAATGGGGGAACTCAAAATGTGCTCTCAATCAGCAAGAGGACTTGGGCCCTGATGTGGCTGCTCACAGAGTAGCTAGAAGTGTAATCGAAGCTTAGATGTCATTGCATTCTTTTTCGAGGAAATGTGAGTTTCTTGTTGTTGTTGTTGTTTTGCTTTGTTGTTTTTTTTTTCCTAGACTGTAAAAATACGGTGGTAAAAGGCTCTCTTTTCTATAAGGAAAATAGAATAACTAATAAACATACTCTAGCCCAAAGAACAAATTCAATTCGAGCAAGAAATGAATGCATTAAAATTCACGGTGTGCCAGGTAGAGTAGCCATAGTGGGTGTGGATGTAAAGATGATGTATTGGCGTGGAGGAGACCAATACAGCCTATGAAAAGTGGCACTACATTCAGAAGATGCATAAAGATTACGGAATTTGAAAGTCAAGGTCCCTCTCTTCACCCTCATTTTCCTACACTTACTCCGTGATCTTTGAACAGTCACTAGACTTCTCCTAAACCCCGTGTTCTTATCTATA